GGCGGGCCTTTTTTTCGGTCGGCGCATCGCGCTAACCCTAACCCTAATACCAATGATCTTCATCTCGTGTTAACGACCCTTGCTGTTGTAATACACGTACCTATTCATCAAATCGACTGATATGAACGTACGTTGGGATAACTCCTGCCGACCTTACATCTAGCTCACAATACCGAAGAGTTGATATTGCATGACCGTGGAAAAGAGCGTTCGCGTCTCGCAGTTGGCCATCACCAGCCTTCGTTCAGCGCCACGACGACGTCGACATTCTCTCTCAACTCCCATGCCTACTGATACAATACCGGCCAGATTCGTCAAGGCTGCGATGACTACCACTGAGCTCACTTACGAGCTGAGGACGAATCATCATTGCAGTCTGCGAGAATCTGCGCATGTTCTGAACTTCTGATTCCAGCTCGTGATCAGGCCGCAATTCTACCGACGACTATAGTTCGAGTTTCAATGACTATTCTCATTTACAGTACATGATGCAATAGTTATGACAATCGCGACTCCGAGAATGAGGCCTTCCTCCGAGCTTCGACACATCTCCTGCAGGCGATCAAAGAACTTCTTCGTACTAATCTCACCATCTGTGCTCGGTCGTTGTCCGCTTACAACTATGTCATCAGCACCGAGACTCCGATAATTCACTAACGGGGCGTATATAGACAGTCTCTTGTCATCCCTCATTTGATACCCGCGATGTCCCTCCTTCTATTCGCAATACTTGCGCTGGCTGCGCTAGCCACTGCGATAGCCCAGTCGCTGCTCAGTCGCATCTGGCGGGAATGGTCTCTTCGTAAGATACCCGGCCCGCCCCGCGCCTCTCTTATCACAGGTGAGCTTGTCAATTAGCTACAACACTACTTAGTCTGACGAACGATTCAGGCAATTTTGCCCAGTTCTTCCGGCCTGACGCTGCGCCTTTCCAAGACAGCCTATTTGCGCAATATGGCCCCCTTCATAGGCTCAACGGCTTTTTCGGTGTACGTGTCTATCTGCGCTATTGCTCACGCGCATGATATAACATGAACAAACGCTACTGTAGGCACAGATACTAGTTACTTCCGATCCTGGTGCTTTGCATCACATCATCGTCAAACGGGTCGATGTGTTCGATACCGTCGACTATTTCCTCAAGTTGACCGGGGTCATCCTAGGAAGAGGTCTCATATCGACACCAATGAAAGGTGCGCTCACATTCCGCTGATGCACTATCGGCATATTGGTGACATACCTGTTCTGCAGGCGATGTGCACCACAAGCACCGCAAGCTCATGAACCCGGCTTTCTCGCTTGGTCACATCAAACTCTTGACCCCGGTCTTCAACTCGGTGTCTAAGCAGGTACGCGCATACACGTTGAGGTTAAACCGGTCTTTCATAATCTGATTATCTTACATGGTAGGTGCGAGAGGTCATGGCTGCTGATATCAAACGGACCGGCCGCACCGAGACGGATGTGTTAGAAATGACCGGCAGAGCTGCTTTGTCTGTACACGCCTATTCTTCCGAAAGTTAGCTTACATAACCATCTAGGGAGCTCGTCGCACAGGGTGGCTTCGGACACTCACTGAATGCTCTGGATGGAAAACCGATCGCCCTCACGATCGCATTGAAGCGCTTCTTGTGCGTCGTATCTTCTTTACTCGCCAACCGGATATCCTACTGACGACATGATCAGCTCAACTAGCGCAAAGCTCTTCAAGTTTCGCCCAATTCTTCCCATTCTGATGCGCACGTTTCCACCGTGGTTGCTTCGCCGTGCGGGAGAGATGATACCATTCCCCGCGCTGCATGACATGTTCGCCATTTCGGATACCCTCCATCAGTTCGCGACGGAAATCTGGACGGAGAAAAAGCAGGCGCACGCTGAAGGCAAACTTTATAGCAGCGCAGAGATGGGTAAGGGACGGGATGTTCTCAGCTTACTCCGTGCGTATTGCCCATGTGATTGATGTCTCCATCGATATCCCATAACTTGCTCTTCAGTCGAAGAGAATAACAAGAGCGCGGCGGAGGACAGACTTCCGGAAAACGAACTCGTCGCGCAAGTGAACACATTCTGTCAGTGTACTTTCGTGACCAACTCTGGTATGCGCTGAATGCTGACTGTGACTTTGAAGTGCTGGCTGGCACTGATACCACGGCTACCGCTCTCGCACGCATGCTGCACTTGCTTGCACTCCATCCTGAAGCCCAGCATAAGCTCCGAGAAGAGCTCGTCGAAGCTGGGACACCTAACGTGGACCTTCAGTTCGATACCCTCGATCGGTTGCCATACCTAGAGGCCGTTTGCCGCGAGACGCTGCGGCTCTTCCCGCCCGTCCGCTTCGTGCAGCGACAGTGAGTGTCCTCATTCGTGCAAAGTAACGTTGCTCAATTCCTTCATCTCCGAAGGGCCCGTCAAGACCATGTGCTCCCCCTTCGCCAACCTGTCAACGATGTCGAAGGGAAGACCGTGACTGAGATATTCATCCCCAAGGGCGGGATAATCATGTGCAGCATCGTCGGAGTGAATTGTTCGGAGGCCATTTGGGGCGCAGACGCTCGCGAATGGAAGCCTGAGCGCTGGCTCAAGCCGCTGCCGCAGGCCGTGTTGGACGCCCACATTCCTGGCGTGTACGCAAACATGCTCACCTTTTCTGGCGGCGCTCGCTCTTGCATGTACGTTCCCCACTGTCAAGGTTATATGTTCACGCCCGCACATATGCTGATCAAGTATATCAGCGGTTTCAAGTTCTCCTTGCTGGAGCAGAGTGAGTATTCGCCAATGCCTTCGACGAGAAACGGGACTCACAAACACATTGTTCAGAATGCATGCTCGCGCAGTTCATTCCCTCGTTTGAGTTTGAGCCGTCGGAAGAGCATCAGGTCTCCTGGTGGTTTGGAAACATCAGCGGTCCCGTCGTGGAGGACGCGAAGACGAAGAGCCACCAGGCTGGAATGCCCCTTCGTGTGAGATGCATCTGAATGCCGGCATCCCTTCTGGGAGAGGACAGGACAAGATATAGGTATCAGGATCTCTTCGAACTTGATCATCATATACATGTCCTGTACTTTCGAACCGAACGATCTTGGACTTTGTTGACCGCCACATCTTGGCCACATCGTTTGTCTCCTTTTGCGCTAGAACACGGCGACAAGCCAATGAAGGAAAACCCGTACAGCGCGAAAGTTTATATCTTGACCGCACAGCGAGGTCTGGTCAAGCCAGGTCTCGAAGCAGCCCGTACCGTCGACGCTAAGTTGCGCTCTCGGACCGCGCGACGACCTTCCGTGTGTCGAAGCGCCCAGTGTTCCCATCTCCCGTTGCGCGCCGCCGAGTCTAGCTGTTGTATGTACACGGTATCGCAAAGCGCTTTACTGACGTCGATCACGGCTCTAGCGCCCGTGTGGTATATATAACCACTAGACCATTACACGGCCGCGGGTAGCTTTCCTTTCCCTCCACCTCGTTTCCCAGGGACTAAGGGGGCCCTAGGTCGCTCATGATACCAATGGCTACGTCGAAGCGCATGGCTTTTGCGACTTTGTTGCTCGCCGCATACGCGAGCGCCGAGTCGCACACCGTATCGATCACGAACAAGTGCGTCTGTTGCGTCGGCGTGCCAGTGCAAGAAACTCATGCGCGATTCTTCCTTCCAGTTGCGGGTATGGTAACGTGAGTGGCGCACGTCGCTGAGAACCCGCTCCGGCGCACGCGCTGAATGCACTCAACGGACGCTTGCAGCCGGTGTTGCTGGTGAACGACGCGAACATGACCATCGTCGACAACCACTTTACGGGTACCGGTCCGTTCTCCGGCGTTGCGTACGTCTCCTTCCCCACACTATCCTAGCGCAGTCATCTCACGCGCCAGCCTCTAACGTGCAGATGGCTTGACTCAACCAACTGCTCGCTGATCGAAGGAAACTGCACCGTGGTCAGTACAGTGCTAGATAACAACGTCACGAGCCAGTTCGGCGGCTCGCAGTTGTCTGTAAATCTGCATAGGATGTGAGTTCTCCTCTACATACCTATATGCGTGCCTTTGAATGCAATCAGTACACCGTTCGTTGAGCCTGTTTGTGCGGAGTACACCGGCGGATGCGAGGGACAGGGTTGGACATGTAAATTCGCGCTGCTTCAATCTCTAGTTGACATGCTGATCTCCCGCACAGGCGAGGATGATGCTGGTTGTACGAACGCAAATGTGACTGAACCTGTCTGGGATAGAGTGCTGCCCTGCAAGACCGCCGACGTAAGCTGCAATCCTCCGTTCTCAAGAGTGACCTTGCTCACAGCGCTAGCAGGTTAACGTCAGTATCACATTCTGTGAATGCTCCATGACCTTAAGTGCGGGCACGCCTTCTTCTTCTTCCGCATCATCGAGCGCATCGGCAGCGGCCGCCATAGCTGGCGCTTCTACTTCATCCTCTGCCTCTCATGTTGGTGCGATTGTTGGTGGGACGCTTGGAGCTGCCGCCGCACTGCTCCTCGCAACCGCTGCATTCATCGCACTCCGCCGTCGCCGGACACGCGGCAAGTTCTCTGTTGCGCGCGCGAGGGCAGAAGCGGTCGTGCGATTGGAGAACATGCGTCGTGGGCCTGGGGACTCTCTTGGGCAGGTGGATTGGGGAAGGGACGTCAAAGCGCCCGTGAATCCTTGAGACCTGGATGATCGTAGATGCGTGTTCTGGCATCCTTGTACTTGTATGTGAGTTGTCTGTACCATAACCAACCTGTGACCTCTATAACACTGTTTCCAATGCCACCCCTCACCAACGCCCATCACTTGATGCCCGACAAGCACGCGAGGCTTCATGTACAAGTATATGTCCTGGTCCATGTATGTACAGCAGTGCCTTCGGGAATTGAACCCGTGATGTGCGTCAATACCAACTGAGACTGAAGATAAAATATTACAAAAACAAATGCTGTTCGTATCTAACAGTTCTCGCCTTCTAAGTATACACATGATGTAGAGCAAAAGTACAGCGGTGAAAGACATGTAACGGGCTCAACCGGGAATTGAACCCGGGACCTCCTGCAGGTTAAGTACTGATGAAGTACCGGGTAGAACCCGAAGCAGGAATCATACGACTAGACCATTGGGCCGTTGTCAGTGATCTATCTTATTAAGATTCAATGCTCCACTAGAAGGCCTGGGTGCTGCCCACGTAAACCCTGCTCGACTCAGACGTCCAGTGCGGCAGCGCCGGCAGATTTGTAAGAGTTGGTCATCGTTACAGAGTACATTCTTAGTTTGCTCGTGTACAAACCCACGAGTCCTCCTTTTCTTCCATTCGGACACATGAGTGTTGATATCCCAGAGGTGAATCTGTCAGTCTCTTTGCTCACACCGAGCGTACGAGCACCCAATCGATGCTCACGATAGCCTTTCATATGCGCTCGCCGACCTTGCGCAGTGCGCGCACATCGCAGATTCGGAGATAAACGTGTATCCGCCTCCAGCTAGTAGAGTACTCGGCAGGTACAAAAGACGTGGACGAGCATATTCACATGGTATAGAAACACCTGTGGTCGAATCGATGATGATAATCTGCAAGTTGATCAGCCACCGTGAGCGAGTCGGCGAGTAGATACGCAGCAATCGGATCTGTCACCATGACTGTCAGCTCGAAAGGCCGTTCGATCGAGTGCAAACAGAGCGGATAAGTTGGATAACACGAGTCCGGTTTACAGCAGAAGAGACACTCGATCCTGTAGAAATCGAAGCCCAATCTGAGGCCTTGAGGACTCGCGTTGTATTCGCCATAGGCCCGCCATTTGCACTCATTGTCAACGACGACGGAAGTGCAAATGGATCGAGCGCGTGCACGTTGTACCATGCATGTGCACTTGGTCTGTACTGTATTTGGTAGTATGCCCGGGAGTGCGCCGTGCGGCGTAGAATGGGCGCTCGTAGGGCCCAGGTTGCACGCGTTATACACACCGCTGCGGCCGAGAAGCGTCCGGCGTCGGTCGGGGCTCGGATGGATCCTGGGGACAAGAGCGTAGAAAAGGAGGCGAAGAAGCAAGGAAGCGCCGTGCATGTTGTATGCGCATGAAACCCAATATGCGATGGGTGAGAATTTATAGGAGAGCCGGGTCAAGGCGGGTTGTAGAAGTGTATACCGAACAAAGAACTTGGCAGGTCCAGTGGGGTCCAGCTTAGCCACAGGCCCACAGTGGATTCCAGACGAACATGGAGCGGCCACGAAAGGCAAGGAAGAGGGATGTGGCATTGCCGGCGGCAAGGATTCAAATGCAGCCTCGCCAGCTGGATACCCCACGAGAAGTGCAAAAGAGTTAGATTACCGGCACGTTGTCCGAGGATCCCGCGTTGTCGAGTATTACCGTGTTGGCGTACGAGACCAGACAGATGGCTATATGCGCATGGTTGATTCGGTATATGTGCTGAGAAAGGTCAGCTGGTCTCGTTGTCTTGACGTAGTGTAGATGGCTGGGGCGCAGAGGCTTTGAGAACACCGTCATTGGTCTGGGGATCATCGTACAATGCAGTAAAGTCCAGATCCATTACAAGTTCCATTACATGTATGTGCTCTGTTTGTGCGCGAATGAAGAGCACGCGGGGTGAATTGTGGCGCACGCGACCACAAAACGGATCGGACTTGTGGCCGGCAGACGGATGTTGTGCGGGTCCCATAACGCTTGAGCGCCTTGAGCGCTTCGCGAGTACGTCTGTCTACGTACAGAGCGGGGCCAGGTACGTCAGCTCGTGAGGAGGCGAGGACGAGAGGCACGTCAGCGGATGGCTCGATTGGGGGTGAGACGCAGCGCGATACCAGCGCACGGGCGGGGCGGCGCACCGCGCGCGAATGGGGTATCGAGCGCGGTGATTGGCCAGTGTCGCCCGAAGCCACGGTCAGGTCACTTCTGCTGAGCTCAACTACGCTCCGCGTCTTCTGTTCTGCTAAAAAGCTCATCGATGAGAGCAGGAAACAAGTCTGTTGAGAGATCAAGCGAGCGTCCGAGGGATCGTTGACGTGAGGGGTCTCGTGTGCTGTCCGGGGGGCGTCATGATTGTCCAATTCCATCGGGTCGGGACCATTCGGGCTGCCGCCTGGTTTCGAGAGGCTTCAAAACGTATGGGGCCCCTGTAACGCCCGTGCCTTTTCTTTACCTTTACCTTGCACCTACATCCTCCCATCCCTTGTCCTCCTCGACGATGCCCTCGATGGCGTTCAAGAGCTGCTTGAAGAACTCCCCCAGCAGTACCCCGCCCCGGTCGCGCCCGCCTACACCACCTACTGCCGCGCCGGGTCTTACGAGGAAATGCGTGTCGTTCTGCGCGGAGGACGGTCCCTCGTCAATATGGGCTGCTGACGAATGGGACCGTACGCCAGCAGACGTGACTGCGAAGCTGAGCTACAAGGACATGCTCGAGCTCAAGGCTATCCAGAATTCACTCCCCCGCGCCGAGCAGCCCGGTCGGGATCCGTACTGCTCAGACGGTCGCCAGCGCGTACAGGTCTTGCGCACCGTGCCCCTCGGCCTTCTCCCCCTGCTTCCCGCCGAACATTCTGCCTCTACCGACTCGCCATCAACTGCCAGCCCAGTTTCGACCCCGCCCACTTCGGCCCGTGCGTCCCGGTCGCCATCACCTCTGCGGCCCGCGTCACCGCCGCGCACCTCCTTTGCGTCCTACCCTCCCAGACCCAGCGCACACAGTCCAAATTCCTGGCGAACGTGGTCACCACCAGTCAAGTCGCAACATCCCCTCGCCAAACAGACTCCTACTCCATCCTACCCTCCGCGCCCAAATTCCACGAGCTCTTACCTCGGCCCGCCCGCCCGTACGCCGACTGCTACTCGCGCTCCCCCTCCCCGCCCTAAATTCTCTTTCCTACCTTTGCTCCCAGGCTCGAACAGCCCGAGCCCACCTTCGAGCAGAATGTCCCCCGAGCCTGGAGAGATCGCATTTTACCCCTCTGAATCCGAAGATGAACCCGGCGAGATCACGTTCCGCTCTTCATCACCCGAGCGCGAACCTCTTGCGCGTCCCCCTCGCACAGACGAAGCGGTCGACGTACCGGATTTTACCGCACTCAACCTCAGCAATAAGCTTCCTCTGCTGAAGCTGAATAATAATACTACGCCGCCTACGAGCTCAAATACGGCATCGGGAAGTGGAGTGGCGACGCCCACTGCACCTCCTGCTGCGCCATACGACGCTCTTCCGACTCCGCCGCCCGCTGTGGGCAATGATTTTGGAGGATACTTTGCTCTACGCCCGCGCACGCCTATGGATACACCGCCGCGTGACGCGCCTACGCCTACAGCGAGTCACGGTCCGACGCCTCCATCAAGTGCCGCACCTTCCACACCCGGTACTCCCGAACGTACGCCGCGTACGCTTGAGAAGGACAAGGAGGGCGAACTGCGTATACCGCTGCCCGTACCCAAACATATACACCTGCGAGCGTTACCCTCTCCCGCATTGGCTCCTCCCAGTCCATTCGCCCTCGACGGCTACGGCGAAATTCGTATCGCGAGCTCAAGTAGCGGTGCGAGCGATACGAATTCGGAGTACGATGACCACCCGAGTTCGGGATGGCAGACTGAGGCTGAAGGCGAGAGCGAGCCAGAGAGCGCGGGGGTCGTCACGGATGGAGATGAGCCTGTGATGTCAAGGGGAACGAGGAAAGGAGAGATCGAAGATGATGAGGATGAGTGGGAGACGGAGATGCAGCTTGTTGAGCTTGAGAGTGGGGAGATGACCGTCAGGTCTGTTAGAGTGCGCAGACGGTAGCCCTACGCCTCCGCTTCTGCCTTGATGTCCACGCATGGCTCGGCTTCTCTGATCGTTAACCCTCTTGCGCATGTCTGTCTGCCCAGAGCATCGTCACTACTAGCACTATACATGCATCCACGCTTTACTTTATCGCACGCCGTAATTGCATGTACCCTCGTCCGCTGGCCTGACTCCCTCATGCGCTTCTAGTACCATCCCATCTCCTATGTTCTCTATCTGATCACTCGACTTCGTCTCTGCATTTGCGTGCAATTGATACTGCTGTCGTCTCCCGGTCCTTGTGCACGTAGACATCATGTTCGTCTCTGAACCGCCCAAGCATTGACTTTGATTTTGCATCCTACTTTGCATATACATACGTCTGTGTATAGTGTCCAGGTGGCAGAGACGCAAGTGGCTCGCGTCAACTCGGATATATATATCTCCTCCTCGCAGTGGCGGGAAAATAGTCCGAATATTACCCATATATATATATTGATTGGAGCAATATAAAAATGTGTCTCTACCTTCAATACCGGAGATAGTTGAGGTGCTATTATTCGTCAGATCATACTTGTACGATTTGCCAGCGTCGGTTTTGTCCGTTCTGACTCGAAAAGCAAAACCGGCAGTTTGGAGCAAATCTTGAGCAAATCAGATGACTGACGACATTTAAAAGCGCGCGTCTGTGCAGCTCTCCGTCGCTGACGGCCTGCGACGTCTTTCCTCCCATTCTCGGTCGCAACTTCAACCTCGCTCGCCGAATGCTACCTGAATCCCTGCCATACTTCCATCTCAGCTCTACCACCGATTGCTAGGGCCGACAGTGAAGTCACCAATGTTGCGCACGGCTCAGGTCGACGCAGCGCGTTACGCCGGCAGCGCGCTCTTCGACTGCCGGCCTTTCGATCTTGTTGCTCACAACTCGCGCCTCGCGCACTACGCCTTCATTTTATTCCGCACTTCAACCCAATATATATTATTGATAAATCTATCGACAAGTGTACAACGTTATCGAGAATTATGTTGGCGGACTGCCTTCCCTTGCTGACTATGGGTGGCGAGAAGGCGCTCGCTGGTCATGCCGCAGGGCCAGCAGTGTGCTTCATGTGCACGCTTACTATGCCCCGGCTGATATGAATACAGCACGACTGATTACATGTACCCTGGTACTTGTCGTGTTTAACCAGTGCTCCCTCTCTCGTTCAAGCAGAATACAACCTTCTTATCCCTTCATCACAGTCTCGGGCTACGCCTTCACCCATCCCGATACACGAGAGCCCCCTTCTCGCCGCTCACCTTGTACGCCGACACGATGGAAAGCCTGGTCCTTACCTTGTGCCAGAGACTAGGCACAATG